GCACAGTGTTCTAATGAGTTCAAGTCGTGTGCTTCAGTTTACCAAGTCTGTTTTCCTCATGTAAAATGCTATTGATGTCTGACTTGGGTAGTCTCAGCTCTTGGTTTATTGGTGTTTTCTTTTTTGTTTGTTTGTTTTTGTTTGTTTGTTTTTTCTCCCAAGACAGGGTTTCTCTGTGGCTTTGGAGACTGTCCTGGAATTTACTGGTCTTGAACTCACAGAGATCCGCCTGCCTCTGCCTTCCAAGTGCTGGGATTAAAGGTGTGCGCCACCACCGCCTGGCTTCAGCTCTTGTTTTTACTTGAAATTTGGGGTTTATAGCTATAAATCTGAAAAATGGGCTAGTACAAATAATGGGATATAGCACAGATAGAAGATTTTTTTTTTTGAGACAAGTCTTGCCATGTAGTTCAGCCTAGCCTTGAACTTACTATGTGGCCCAGGTTGGCCCTGATCTAGAGTTCTAGGATTACTGGTAGGCACTATTGTAGGATGTTCCTTTAGAATGTTGATGTCTTTAGTGTGGTCTAGTTTTTTTTTTTTTTTTTTTTTTTTTACAGAGTATACACTATATAATAGCTTACTGGGTTGTGGTGTTGTTTAGAAAGTTTCACCCTTGTAATTGAACACTTGCATGTTAAATGACAGCTTGTATTAGATTGAAATCTTTGAATTGTGCTCTCAGATGATAGTCAGCAATCCTACGTACTTCTGCATTTTAAATATGCTTTAAAAGATCAGAGGAAGAATAGATACTGAAAATTCTATTTCAGTGTCTACAGATAGTGTTAAATCTTCCCAAAATATATGGCTATATCTCTTTTTGTGCTACAGTGACAGAGCTGAGTAGTTGTGACAGAGGCCATACATTAACAGTCCTCATAGCTTCATACTGCTCTTAGCCTGTACATTTTAGTGACATAGTTACAATGTGAGTGCCATGGCTGTTGTTAGTCTCTGTTACTTGTGTTCTTTATTATTAGTTCATGCCCATCAAAACAAGAGAAAATAGATTTGTGTGCACACATGTGCTGAAGCTACCCAAGTGTTGTGCATGCTAAGTGTGCGCTCTGCCACTGAACACTGTTGGCCCCTGAATGAAATTTGGATTATTTTGTTGAATTAAATATCAAAAAAAAAGCAAAACATTGTTCTTATTATACAGTAACAGTACAATTGGGATAGAAGAATGTATATTGACATAACCAGGGTAAGCATACCCCAATATTCCCAACTTTTGGGATTATAATTGGAAAATTTGAAACGAAGTATCTCATCATAGCATAATTTCTTCCTAAAAATAAAAATGAAAAAAAATGTGAAGTTACCGTCAAAACAGATTTCTAGTGGACTCATTTGTTAGCTAAGCAGAGTCATTTACTGATGTTGAGTTAATTAAATTCTATCACAGAAGCCAAAAATTGTGTAAGAGACTTGTTTAAAACTTGTAGCTTTTTGGAAAGAATAATTGTTTTTAACACTTAAGGACATTTGGGGTGACTTTGGTAGACAATTAAAAAGCAAGGCACATGGTATATAGTGGTCCTCCTGGCTCTTGAGGAGTTAACAGATGTTACTGATGCTACTTTTGTTATTTACTGGAGAACTCAACTTGCAAATTTAAAGTGGCAGAAAAATTAACCTTGTGAGTACTCTTTGTGGAGTACTTACAGACAGGTATTCCCTCTCTTCCTCCCTCCCTTCCTCTCCCTCCCTCCCTTCCTCCACCCGTTTTCCCCCCTCCCCCATAGGGTTTCTCTGTGTAACAACCTTGGCTGTCCTGGATCTAGCTCTGTATAGACCAGGCTGACCTTGAGCTCACAGAGATCCACCAGAGTACTGGGATTAAAGGGATGCACCACCATTGCCTAGCTACAGACAAGTGTTTTCAAAGTTGAGAAAATACCTAAGCACAAAGAGAAGTGGAATTCACTAAAATGTTGCTACAGTGATCAATATGTGTGGAACAGATTAAAAAAAGTAATGTAAGATGTTCAAGGCCTATGGTTGTTAGTGTGTTACTTATCAGCAAATAATTTGCAGATAATGTGAATCACTATCATGAATGCCATTTACTCTCATGGAGTTAAAGTAGCATTGCCTCCACGGATACTTGTTAAGAACAAAAGCTGAGTATTCTGACTGGCTTAGTGTTTGTTTGTTTGTTTGTTTGGTTTTTCAAGACAGGGTTTCTCTGTATTCTTTTGGAGGCTGTCCTGGAACTTGCTTTGTAGACCAGGCTGGCCTTGAACTCACAGAGATCCGCTTGCTTCTGCCTCCCGAGTGCTGGGTTTGTTTGTTTTTAACAGTTGTTGAAAGGCTGAGATAGAAATTTTTATGATCAAAGAGGATCAACCATTGTAAATTAGATAATAGTATCAAATACTATTTACTTTTGAAAATTGATTAAGGGTTTTAAATGAATATGACATAAAATTAGAACATAAAGCAATGTACACACGTTGGGCATGGTTGTGTACACCTTTAATTCCAGCACTCAGGAGGCAGAGGCAGGCAGATCTCTGTGAGGTAGTGGCCAGCCTGATCTGCATGTAGAGTGAGTTCAGGACAGCCAGAGCTACACAAAAAAACTCTTATCTTGAAAAATCAAAAACCAAACCAAAACACAAACAGTATGCATGTAGTGAAGTATGATGCACGCTCATGTACACAAGTGCCATCAGAGACTTCAGAACACTGATGTACGTTGGTGTAGTTTCAGCTTCATCTGTATCCAGGGGTACAAAGGAACTCCCGTGTTTCAGAGTCTACAGTGAGGAGCTTCTACTCACTCTTTGATTGGTTCTGTGCTGTACTGACACTGCAAGGCAAACGTCAAAAGAGCTACCCAATAGAGTTTTACAGTTGGCTTCTGGGTAAAAAATGTCTTCAACTAAAATCACATGCGGAGTTTGGTATCAATATTTGGCTGTACCTCTTAACCAGTGAAAGTCACATCAGATCAGTGCTCTTGCCAAGGACCTGGCTTAGTTCCTAGCACCCACACGGCAACTCACATCCTCATTTCCTGGAGATAAGAGACCATTTTCTAGCTCCTATGGGCATCTGCATGCATGTTGTGCACATGCATACACTCAGGCACATGCACACATAAAAGTGAATAAGATCTAAGAATGTAATAGATAGTGACAATGTAAAACTGGGTGAAGCTCCTGGGCTTCAGAACTATAGAAGTTCATTGCTACTATGGTTAGGGACTCAGTGAGTGTTTGAGTAGCTACATTAATCTAGCTGGATCATATTTTACTTATGAGTTTGTTATAACAAAGTGATTTTTATATTAAAAGATTAAAAACATTTTTGAAGATAAATACAGAGATTCATTTTAGATTAGCAACTTATGGGTTGAGTATTAGCAAGAGACTTGGAATAGGAAACTCTAGTAGTGAGGTATTCTGCTCTTCCAAAGAATCTGTTGTTTTCTTACTAGCAGACTTGTAGTATTGTAAGATACTGTTCACAATGATTATTACTTGAGTTTTGTTCATGAAGTTTGTGGAAACCTTTTTTCTTGTTATGTATATGTGTACATGATTTTACCTGTTGGCCTACAGAGATGGAAATACTTAGGATCTTTCTCCTTAAATAAAAAAGTTGACAAATCTTTGTTTGACAGCAGAGCTTCTCAAATACAAAGTGCTCACGGGGCCTTATTAAAATGCAGGTTCTGGTCTGGGCTACAGAAGGACCTAAGAATTTGTACAGCTTGAAACTATCTTAGCTGAAGTGGTTACCTGATAGCTAACAATGTCCAGGCACTGCCAGTGCATTCTTTAACACCTTTTCGGTGCCAGGACCTGTGCTAGGGGCACCGCATATATCCCTTCTTTTAAAAGTTGTTGAAAGTGTTAGAGACTGTTGAGGTGAGGCAGCACTGGGTGAGCATCTTGGCTTAATGCTCCCCCTCCAGGTGACTACTTCAAGGAGCACATACAGAAGGGTTAGGTCCTAGAGGAAACTACACATTTGCCATAACCGTGGGAAATATAATCCCTGTTATTGCTGACTGGTGCTGGACAAAGTAGGGAGTGCTGGTGCATTATCAGGCCAGGCCAGAGGAGAGGTGTGGGGCACTCAGATGCTTTGAAACCATCTTCTCCTCGTCTTGCTCCTCTGTTCACCTGAAATGTCTTGCACTAACAAACCTTTAAAATTTCGATGAAGTCCACTTCATTAGTTTTAAAAGTTAAATGTTTTAATTGTAGAATATGCATAATGTAACCACCCCCCCCTTTTTTTTTGAGGCGCTGATGAGTGAACTAAGGCTCTGAGTATGCTAGGGGAGTTCTCCCTTGGTGGTTCACTTATAACTCACAGCTAATGTTGAAGGTTGTGTTCTTCTCACCCTTTAACGTATTAGACACAGAATTGAGGTTGTATAGGACTCTTTTGCTTTTGAGATGAGATATGTAACCCATGCTGCCTAGAGCTCTTTGTGTGTCCTAGGCTGTCCTTGAACTCATGATCTTCCTTCCTTGCCCTCCTTAGTGTTAATATTGTAGATATGTGCCATAGCACCTAGATTGTTTAGGACTTTTATTACTGCCCTACAGTAGGCCAGGTGTTTTGTGGAATATCTTTATGTTTGTGTGCATGCTTACATAATTTGTGCTTGATGCTTAATTTGGGTGTACTGTGGGCTATAGTCAAAAGTATGAATGTGCTTATAAGATGCTTTGTTAAATGGGGTGCACCTTTAAAAACATTGTAGTTTTGTAGTTTCTTTTTTTTCTGTTTATAGCATTCATTTGTTAAAAAAAAAAAGATATTTTTTCCCCTCCGAGACATGGTTGCCCTGTGTAGCTTTGGAGGTTGTCCTGGAACTCACTCTGTAGACCAGGCTGATCTTGAACTTGCTGGGATTAAAGGCATATGCTACCACTGACCAGCTGTTTGTAAATTTTTTATTGCAGCCTCACTATATGTAATGGACATATTTGTGCATACACACATGTGCATGTGTTGTTTTTTTATCATAGGTGCAATGGATGAGCTTCACAGTCTGGATCCAAGAAGGCAAGAATTACTGGAAGCGAGATTTACTGGAGTTGCGACAGGGAGCACCGGGAGTACCGGGAGTTGCAGTGTTGGAGCGAAAGTGAGTAAAATTTAATCTCATTTAATGCCCTGTCTTTGTATTAAGTAGTCTGGAACATACTTGGTGGGGCAGTTGAGACAGTCTGACCAGAGGACTCTTGTGTTGAAAGGAGAGAACCAAGTCTTACAGACTTCACTGACCACCATAGTGTGTGTACACACCACACACACACACATACACACACACACACACACACACACACACACCCATCCTCTGAAACTATGTATCTTTTGTACAGGAGCCCTATATACATGCTTAAGAACAAATTATTACTTTTTATGATTTTTGTAATATGTAAAAAAGAAGCTAGTATTTGGAAACCTGATTTATTTGCTGTACAGCATATTTCTATGTTATTGGAGTTGTGTTTGACAGTTCTTGCTATTAATTTCTTGGACAGAAGGTCTTGCTTGTATGTATGTATGTACGTACGTACGTATTTTTCTGCTTTTCCTGTAGCAATTTCTAAGTGTGAGGTTTTACGTGGAATTTTTCACTCCATTTTGAATTGATTTTTGCACAGAGTGAAATAAAGGGATATAATTTCCTTCTGCATGTGGATATGTAGTTTTCCCCACCAAATTTGAATAGATTAGTACCTTAGTTGAAAATCACATGACTGTGCCCATGTGGGTTTCTGTTTCCTCTGCTCAGTTGATCTGTGTGTGCTAGTCTCAGTAGCATGTTGTATCTGTTAATAGGGTTTAGTATAATTTGAAATCAGGTACTGTGATACCTCTAGCCTTGCTCAGAGTGCCTTTGGCTACTTGGTGTCATTAATATTTCTGTGAGCTGTAGAATTTTCTTTTCTTTTTTTGTGAAGAATGTACTTGACATTTGATGGATGATTGTGTTTAATCTGTAGAGTAGGTTTGATAATATAGTATTGTCGCAATATTGTGCTAGTCTTTAACATTTTAAGATTTTCATTATAGATTTCTTACAAACACAAACACACACCCACACCCATACACACACACACACACTTTTAAAGTTTTGTGCCATGCTGTCCAATCATGAATGGGATTGTGTTCTTGATTTCCTTCTCAGTGTTTGTTTTTGATATATAGAAAAGCTACTGGTTTTGTATGTTGAACACATATCCTAATATTTTGCTCAAAGTCTATCAAATCAAAGTTTTTCAGAGGCCTCTTGAGTAGGGAACATGTTATCTGTAAAAGGGGTGATTTGAGTGAGTTTCTATTTATGTCTCCTTTATTTTTTTGCTCTTGTCTTATGACTCTGGCTAGCAATTCAAGTACCATATTGAATAAGAGTGACGATTTTCGTTACTGATTTTAGAGGAAGGACTTTCAGTTTTCTTCTTTGAGTGTAATGTAGGGAATAGATTTGCCATCAGCCTTCATAATGTTGCAGTATGATCCCTTTACTGCTAGTTTCTTTAGTGTTGGTCATGAAAGGATGTTGAACTTGTCCACAGGTCGTTTCCACATCTCTTGAGACTGTTGTGATTTCTGTCTCTGGGTCTGTTCATATGCTGCATTACGTCTTCTGATTTGCGTGTGCTGAGTCATCCTTTATCTCTCTCATGATAATTTCATGTTTCTTATTTTGAGAAACTGCCATACTGTTTTCTAATTGTTTTATATCCTCACCAGCAAATGCACAAAGAAGTATAGTTTCTCTATCCTTATCAGTACTTGTTATTATCATTTCCAGTATAGTATTTTGGTTGGTGTATATAGTATTTTTGTTTACATTTCCTTACTGATTAGTGATGTTACCAACTTAACATTTATATATCTTCTCTGATGGAATATCTAGTCAAATCCTTTGCCTTTTTTAAAGTCTGGTTGCTCTTAAATCTGGAGTTACAAGGGGTTTTTATGTGTGATGTGTAATAGACTCTTGTATGAGAAATGATTTGCAGATTTTCTTCCCATTCTTTGGGTATCGTAATTAAGAAACTTGCGTAGTTCAATGTCACGTAATGTATACCTATTTTTTTTCCTAAGACATTGTTGAGGTGTGAATATATTATGTCCCTTACAAGCTTATGTGTTAAACACTTGATCCCTAGCTGGTGGTGCTATTTGAGGGTATTGAGGAAGCCTTAGGAGGTGAGCTTACTTAGTGGGAAGAAGAAGGTACTTACTAAAGGGTAAGCCTTTGAAAGAGTTACTAGTTCCTCTGCTCTTTTCCATCTCTGCTTTCCTCTGTCTCTTCTTCATGTTCCTTCTGTGATGCTATCATCAAATGCATGGGGCTATGTGATGAAATGTTTAAGGTGTTTTCCCTGGTTATTTTGTTACAGCAACCATAAAGTGAACCCAAAAAAATGATTATAATTTTAGCCCATACATTCAGGTCTTGGATCATTTCGAACTCTCTCTGAGTCTCTCTCTCTCTCTTCTCTCTCTCTCTTCGTCTCTCTCTCTCTTCGTCTCTCTCTCTCTTCGTCTCTCTCTCTCTCTCTCTCTCTCTCTCTCTTCTCTCTGAGTCTCTCTCTCTCTCTCTGTTTCTCTCTCTCTTATCTAGTTGTTGATTCATTGGACATAAATATGTTGGTTTACTTATCTACTCTTAGTTCTTTGCTGATCTGAACTCTGTCCTCAACGTCATAGCCACACTTGCAGTATAGTTTTGTGGTACATTTTAAAAATGAAGTGGTTCTTCTTTAAGATTATTTTGGCTGTCCTGGGTCTCTTGCATTTGAGTCTGACTTTTAGAATCAGTTGGTCACCTTCTGAAAAAAAAAAGACAACTGCAGTTTAGGTCAGCGTTGTAGGTGAATGTTAGGTCAGTTTAAGTATTGTAATCTTAGTAAGTTGTCTAGTCATCACATTTGCTTAGGTGTTTAGTTTCCTTTCAGTGGTGTTTTGTGGCTTTTGGTGTATAGCTCTTTGAATTTTTCCTTTTTCACAGTATTATAAAGGTATTGAGTTGTATGTGGCTCTTGTGTCCTGCAACCCAGTTGAACTTACTTATTGCAATAAGCTTATGGAGTTACTCAGTGTTTCTTATGTACACAATATTGTAGGCAGAAGAGCAGCTCACGCCAGTTGTCAGCTCTGGTTCCAAGAGACCCTGAGATTAACATCCTTCGCCATAGGATTGGCCAAAAGAACAGGCTGGATCCTGTTTCCATGTCAGTTGTGAGCAGAGTCACTTTAAAGTCTAGTGCTGTACTGCCCCTCTTTTCTTTGATTAATCATTGCAACTGTTACCTCTACCCCATAGCCACCCTCTTGAGAAAAAGAGTGCTCTCTCCATATCATCACGGCTGCTGTTTTATTTTACTGTTCAATTATCCCCTAAAGGGATAGAGAGTTTGGGATTTGTTTGCACTTAAAATGTTATTTTCCTAGTATGGTGGATGTTTTTGAAAGGCATGTCTGATTATGTACTGTCTTTCTTGGAATTTTTTAAATGGTTTAGCATAATTTTCTAGTTTACTTAGCGTTAATAATCTCTTTTTGATTCCTGCCTTATCTTATGGCCCAATCTTATGCTTCTCCCCTCCATTTTTTTCTTCACATTTATACTTTTCTCTAGCCTAGCAAACTGATTTCTTCCAACAGGCAGTTTTTCCTACCTTTTTTTTGGGGGGGGGACTGTGCACTTGACCTTGTTTCATATGTCCTTGACCCCTTTTGTCATCAGTGTCATCAGACTCACCACTGTTTGATATGTGCAGATCTTGAGGCTGTTCCTCTGACTGCCTGAATACCCAAATGCCAATTAGGTGGACCTCCTATTTCCTTCCATTGACACTAGATGTACCTGAGCCTACTTTATTACATCACATTTAAATGTTTTATTTTCTTGTAGCCTGCTAATATGTTGAGGACAAAAAAACTTGCATATCTTAATTTGGGGAATGAAATAACTTTTGAGTTCAGAGCAGGGCCGGATATGGCTCAGTGGTTAAGAGCACTGGCTACTCTCCAGAGGACTTGGGTTTGATTTCCAGCAGCCGTGTGGTAGGTAGCTCATACTAGTCTATAACTCCAGTCCTAGGGGCTCTGATATCCTCTTCTGTCTGCCATGGGCCAGCATGCAAGTGATGCACAGACATACATGCAGGAAAAACACACCTACATTAAAAAATAAAAACAAATTTTTAAAAAGCTTAAAAATAGAAATCAAAACAGCATGCCTTATTCTAATGGGTTTTGGGAACAGTGGTGACTAAATTTATTTAGGGTAGTTTTGTTTTAAGTTTCTATTTTCCTTCACTTTTACCGGACTTTTAAGCTAGGGCCTTGTACATGCTAGACAAACACTCTGCCACTGAGCTGTATGCACAGCCAAAGATTTGTTTTGAGACTTGATTTATTCTAAAAAGTATCAGGGAAGCCTTTAAAACCTGCTCTTGCGTTATTCTATTACCTGTAGCCAGAGCTAGCAAGGTTTCTGGAAATGAAAATAGAGCCACTGTTCGGTTTACTAATAATATTCCTTACCTCTTAAGTGGTAACATCAGATGAGAATAAAAACCAAAGCCATCTGTTTCATATGTGTTTGTGTGTAGGGAAGCCAGGGTCTTGTGCCTGGTAGATAAATTCTCTACATTTAAGCTGCCTGCCCGGCATCTCATCATATATTTTAAAGGACTCATTATGTGTCAGGTTTCATTTAATGTTCTTGATTTGCAGACAGAATTATATACCTGCCTCATATATTATAGTCATTCTAATAGTAGCCAGAACACAATAGGTGTAGCTATTAGCTTCTATATAGACATATTTGGTTTTACACATCTATCATCTAATCTAGTTCATGGGAGGTAAGGTAATAGGGTTGTTACAATATTTTGTAAATTAAACTTAAATTTTAAAACATTCTGTTAAAATATCAGATGTTTTAACTAAATCCATTAGCTTAACTGATGGATTTTTTTTGTTGTTGTTGTTGTTGTCTTGTTTTGTTTTTTGAGACAGGCTTTTTCTGTACAGCCCAAGCTATCTTGGAACTTGCTTTGTAGAGCAGGCTGGCCTAGAACTCACAGAGATCCACCTGCCTCTGCTTCCTCTGCT